TTACGTGAGTTTTCGTTTTACAGAAACTATCCGTGCAACACCCTTCCAGGATACGGCACAATGGAGACAAAGGCGCAGACGTGCAGCAGGGCCCCACTAAAAGGTTTCTCTTTAGATTAAGCCCCTGTGTAAACCTCCTTTACTGTCTTTTGTTGCTTGACATCCCATGGGTATTTCATACACCCAAAGGGACACTGGTGTTATAGGATTTTCTCCATGACAGATCAATGCACGTACCTGGAATTACAGGGTCAAGGGCGTTAATCAGCCCGGTATATGTTATAAAGTCCAAATACCTTCGGCAGTGTTCGGCGTCATGAGTTTGGCCTTATATGCATCAGCTCCGAATCATGTCTTTGGTCAAATGTTGGGTTAGCCTGGCTCCTGGGTCTACTGCCTTACATTCCGTTCTATCGGCTAAGGCGGCCAAAGGAGAACTACTGCGATTGTGCCCTGGTTCTTCCGGATGAGCACCTCAGTAGAGAAAGTCATAAACTGACTGTCATGATACAGCGAGAGAATGATCAACCACTCAAGGACTCATACGAATCTATAGGATTCCTCCGCATCAATGAAGGACCGGTTTTTCGGTCAAGTACACACACCGTATCCGGATGCACGCGGAAGTACCAGGGGCTACATAGCAGCCCCACCTTTTCAACTCCCATGGCTAAGTGAAAGTGTTACAACTATATAGTCCGGTTGCCTGGTTCGACGTGCGATCACCTCCTTAATGGACCAAGACATTGGATCAAGTGTGCTTACGCCTATTTTCTCGAACACCCCCGCATTATATGCGTGGGGGCTAAAGCCAACAACTGCTAACTTTCACGTTATATGCATACATAAACAGCCGCAAAGGAGACATTATAATACTTTCAGGCAAAAGTATAAAAAACAACCTCTATAATTAAACACATAATTGTTTACAGTTGATAGATTCGTCACTCGAACATGACATTCTTCGAGCACTGAGCCTCTATTCTACGGGCACCTTCTATGACTTGCTCAAAATAGTGCTCGGTTGGGTCTTGGCTTCCTGCCGGACCCTGGGTTGCAATGCCGGTGGCCTCCATATCTGCCCAATATGTCTTCACACGGGCAAGGGCCATCCGCGCACCCTCTATGCACGCCGACCTCTTCTCGGCATCTATTCGCACTCTGGCGCCAAATAATTGTTGCACCAAACCAAAGTAATTGTCCGGCTTCGGCTCCTTTGGCCACAGATGGTCTATTACAGACCACATTGCAAGGTCGGACAGCCTATGGAGCTCGGCTATAGCGGCCATCTTCTCACTCAAGGGTAATGAGCGCGCTGGGGCATTAAATTGCGGCTAGAACAGTCATTCTATTTCGTTATCTTTATGGTCCTTGAACAACTTGGTCGCATCAGCCGCACTCTTCGCCAAGTCCGCATACTCATCTGCAGCACTCCATAGCTTATCCAACGGAGAATATTTTGGATCTAAAAACTTCATCTGCAACAAATAAGGATTTCCAGCCGCGATTTCTCCGACTTGTCGAAGTTTCTCCCGCGCGTCTCTAATTTCAGAGCGCGTCTCATTAGCCGAATCCAGCGCCTTCTTTAGGTCAACCGCCTTTGCCTGATTCTCCTTCTCGAGAAGGTCATACCGGCCGACGGCATCCCTCAGCTCCACAGCCATGTCGGCTATCTTTTCTTCGCTTCGGAGATGAGCGGCCTATTCGGCTTTCAAGTCTTCGGCCGCCTTTAGAGCAGCCGCATTGCTGACCTGGGCTTGTTCCCTGGCTAGGGCAAGCTCCGCCCTCAGGGCCTCAATGGCAGCAGCTCCGCCTGCAGCCACATCACATCATATTAATATTAGAAGCTCTATGACTCATCAATCCGCTTATTTATAAGCGTCACGTCAGTATCCACCACATCAATTTGTCGCCTTAGTTCGGCAATTCAGCATTCCAGTCTATCGCCGGACCCTTAGCAACCTACACATCAACACAACTGTGATGATTACCTGGGATTGTGATCCTCTGTTTGCCGCCATCGGCTGGCAACCATAGTTTCAGGGGCTACTGTCTATACAGAGCACAGCTATCGCGTGCGGTGTGACCAAAAACGACGTATTTCACTGCTTACCTCAAAGCCTTTGAGCAAGCTCCTAAAAGCTTCATTTAACCCGCTTGTGGCAGAGGAAATTTTCTCCAACACCATACCCATCAGTGTACGGTGATCCTCCGAGAGAGAAGCTGACTCCAAGAGGCCCGTCAGTGTGTTCGTCCGGACACCGGACTCTCCCGGACCCTTTTCATTGTCTGTCGTAGGAGCCGAACGCGCTGGGCTCGGGGCGGCCCAAGTGTTAGCTTCTGGCCGCATTGGATCCGGACTCCTCCGTGACGATACCTCAGGGTCGCCTGCCCCATGGGGCAGAGAGGTAGGTGGGGTCTCACTCTCCATCATCTCCGAAAGAAGATCCACTGAGGACGAACCCTATTGAGATGAACTGCTAGCCGGACTGCAAAAAATAGGTCCCGGTTATTACCCTTAGAGGAAAAAGCAATAAGCTTCTTGTGTATTAAACTTACAGCTTGGTGGAGGGCTGGCCCGTTAGCGGGCACTGTGCGGTAAGAACGCCCTTTGGGGCAGGGCCCTTTGGTGAAGTTTTCTTCCCTTGTTTAGGTGCCCCGTTTCTAGGTCTTCGGAAGCGGCCCTCTTCTTCCCGCGGGGGGAGGAAACCTCAGATTCACCTCCCCGATTCTCCTCCTCTGTGGAGACCTTAAATTCCCCCGGTTCGGATGCACAATGTGTGAGGCTCGCCCTTGGCTTCCCCACTCTTCCCTTCATCTTTCTCTGATGGCACTTGTCTCAGCGCCTGCTCAAGCATCCTGGCTATTGCCGGACCGGGCAGGCCTCTGGGAAGCGGGGCCGGACATCTGATCCTCTCCGCCTTACTAAGCCAATCCTGGTTGCGGACAGTATTCAGAACAATGCTATGACAAATATAAGCAAAGTGTTCGGTTATAGGCTTACTTACTTCGGTATCTGGGCGATTGCAGCTCAGGCCCGCATCCTCGATGGTGTCCGGACACTTTATTCGTGGTCCGAAGAACAACTTATACATTCCTTCGGGCGTCATGCCGAAGAAGTGCTGAATGGTTCGCGGACCCTCTGGATTGAACTCCCACATCCGGAGAGGTCGACGTTTGCACGGCAGGGCCCGCCGAACTAGCATTACCTGGATTATTTTAACAACACTAATGTCCCTCTTGAGGAGCTCTTGAATGCGGCTCTGCAACATCAGTACATCATTTGCAGGCCCCCAGTTCAGCCCCACGTTGGCCCACGACGCTAGTTGAGGCGGAGGGCCCGAGCGGAAGGCGGGGGCGGTAACCCACTTCGAGCCTGGGGGAGCTGTGACATAGAACCACCTCCGCTGCCATAGATTGGATACCTCCGGGAAGGAGCCTTCGGGCCACGGGGCATCGGCGTTCCTGCTTATTGCAGCCCCTCCGCACTCTGTGTGTCACCCCTCAATCATCTTTGGCTTCACATTGAATGTCTTGAGCCATAGGCCGAAGTGAGGGGTGATGTGGAGGAAGGCTTCGCACACAACGATAAACGACAAGATGTGGAGGATGGAATCCGGAGCTAGATCGTGGAAATCTAGCCCGTAATAGAACATGAGCCCCCTCACGACGGGGTCAAGAGAAAGGCCCAACCCCGGAGGAAGTGGGAGACAAATACGACGCTCTCGTTGGGCTCGAGAGTAGGAATAACCTGTTCGGGGGCTGGACGCCTATGCTTAACATCGGTGGTCAAATAACCGGCCCCCCTGAGCTTCGCAATATCCTCCTCTGTGACAGAGGAAGCCATCCACCGTCCTTGATGGTCAGATCCGGACAAGATCGAAGATCCGGGGTGCTTAAGCTTGAGCTTTGGATGCTGGAACTCGAGGTACGAGAAGGTGCAAGCATGGAGATAGAGTGATAGGCCTTGACCTCTCTATAAAGGGGGAAGAATATCAAGCGTCCCCAGCGTAACCGTTCGGGACTTGCCTAAAAACATGGAGTCATGCCAACAGGCACGGTTGGATTACCCATACCCGTATTGATGAGGATCCTGTAATAAGAGGGACACGATCTCTGCTTCGACAAGACGTGCCAATGGAACCGCCTCGTGATGTGCGCAGTAGCCTGTTGTAAAAAATTGTTCGAATGAAAACCGGACCGTGGCGTGATGTCACTTTTCAAAGAGTTGTCAGCAGATTAGATTCGGGGATTATTATTCTCTCTACGGTGATATATGGAATTTATCTTGCAGTGTCGGACACAGTTCTTGTGTTCGGAATTTATCTAGGAGTATTCGGAGATGGAACCCGCCTCGCAATGCCGAAGACAATCTACGCGCCGGACTCATCGTCATTGAAGCCTGGTTCAGGGGCTACTAAGGGAATCCTAGATAAGGGGGTATCCGGACAGCTGGACTATATACTTTGGCCGGACTGTTGGACTATGAAGATACAAGATTGAAGACTTCGTCCCGTGTCCGGATGGGACTCTCCTTGGCGTGGAAGGCAAGCTTGGCGATTCGGATGTAGATCTCCTTCTCTGTAAACCAACTCCGTATAACCCTAGCCCCCTCCGGTGTCTATATAAACCGGAGGGTTTAGTCCGTAGGACGACAACAATCATACCATAGGCTAGCTTCTAGGGCTTAGCCTCTCTGATCTGATGGTAGATCAAATCTTGCAATACTCATATCATCAAGACCAATCAAGCAGGAAGTAGGGTATTACCTCCATAGAGAGGGCCCGAACCTGGGTAAACATCGTGTCCCCAGTCTCCTGTTACCATTAGCCTTAGACGCACAGTTCGGGACCCCCTACCCGAGATCCGCCGGTTTTGACACCGACAGAGACTTTTAAAACCAATAAGACAATGTACTCTATGGCACTATGCAACTAATTATGTGGCACTGTGCAACTACTTATGTGGCACTGTGCAACTAATTATGTGGCACTGTGCAACTACTGATGTTCAACTGCGCAACTGCCTAGATGATCCATGAGAAAGTCATAAAATGAAAAACAGATTGTACAAGTAGGAAATTTTAAAAGACTACAAATTGATTGAAAAAATAGAGAAGAATGTAATGCTTCTTGTCTTACTTGCCAAGCTACTTCGATACGTCGATGTCAATAATATGGAAGTGCTTGATGCTCTGCTTTGGGTAATTCTTCCTCCATAGCTGGCGTACTGCCCCGCAATCGTAGAGGAGGTGTTCATCAACTCAATGTCTTCTAGCTTCCTGTTTGAATCAAGGACTTCGAAATGTCTGTCCCTCAGGTTGATGTTGAAGACCCAATAATGCATGCCTCCTTCGCGGTTGTTTACATTATCGCACTGAAGCACTGGCAGCATGACCTGCATGCGTGAATGATTCAGATACAGATACACACTGTAGGTAAGAAAAACACTACAAAAATGAGATGTGAAAGTTGAAACAGGTTGGCAGAAGGTATTTGCCAACTAATAGATGTGTCATGTGCAAATGAACATGATGTGAGTGCCAAATATGAGATGGATCATGTGGGCACAGCACTCACCAAATCTTTCTTGTCGAGATGGTTCTTGTATTCAAACTTCTTGTTTATCTCATTCACATTGTAGATCCCCTGTTGTAAATTGATCTACAGAAATTATAAACATGTCTCAAGCACTAGGGTATGAAAAAGACTCCCTGGTTGGTCAATAAAAGTGGTACAAAAAAAGGAAGAGGGTATAAATTTTTTGAAAAACTTACAGAAAACTTCAGTGGCATGATAACTTTCTTTGACCCTTCTGGTAAGTTATCCATGATGTGTATGATTCTAGTCTCAATAACAATTTTTGAAAGCCACTGCTTTGCCTTCATCGAATCAACTAACTCCTTCAAAGAAATGAAGAAATTACCATACTTGATTATCTCAGGGCTGCATTTTTTTTAAAGAAATGAAAGACAAAGTTAGCTTGAAGGGTCACATAAAGAAAGAAGAAAATGTGAAAAAACAAGAGTGTGCAATTCAAAGCATTATTCTGTGCAACATGCTCTGCTTGCTGTGCAACTAAGTGGGTGGTACTGTGCAACTGAAAAAAGATATGTATATAGGTTGTGGGGAGTTGGCTTGCCTGGTGTTATCATCATCTGGTAGACTAATAGACAGCCAACCCACAACTAAGAAGACTAATAGACAAACCAACCTAGTACAAACAGGAAGCCAACTAAGGCAAGAAATAACTATGGACAAAAATAGTTTACTAAAGCCAGCTAGTTGAGTATGAAAATTTGTGAAACTGGGACAAACAAAAGGACTAGGACAAAAAGAAATGCAAAACAGGAAGCAGGGCAACTTTGTGCAACTCAACAGCATATAGACAACCAACCTAATACAAACAAGAGCAAACCTAAAGCATGATAACTAGTGCAAAAAAGCAAAACATGTGGACAACCAACTAGTATATGGATGCAACCAACTAATCAGGAAACTTGTGCAACTGAACGACGCGTAGACAGCCAACCTAGCACAAAATAGCAAGCAAACTAAGCAGGGAAACTAGTGTCCAATGTAGAACACATGGACATCCAACTAGTATAGTGATGCAGCCAACTCAGTAGGCAAACTTGTGCAACTGAACAGCATGTAGAAAACCAACTAGTACAAACAGTAAAACAACTAGTGCAACTGCAGAGCATATGGACAACCAACTACTATATGGATGCATCCAACTGGGGAGAACAACATAGAACTTAAACTCGACATAGAACATGAAGAAGGATTAGGAGAAATCATGAACAGATCTCAAACCCCCTACCTTGACAGCAACAACCCTGGACAACAAACAACCGCTCTCCATTGCGCTAAAATCGCACAACGGGCGCCCTGGACGTGCATCCCCTGCTATCTTTCAAACACTATAGCAATACAGGGCCCGTGCCCTACCCAACTACACCACTCTGATGTGCAATTAATAAAAAACATGTTGTGCAACATGCTGTGCTTGCTGTGCAACTAAGTGGGTGGTACTGTGAAATTGAAAAAAGATATGTATATAGGCTGTGGGGAGTTGGCTTGCCTGGTATTCTCATCATCTGCTACTGGGATATGTCTGACCCAATACACAATGGCAGCGTAAATCTTGTTGACTGCCTCATTGCAGTTGAAGGTCTTCTTTTTGTTGTAATCAATGAATGGAGACCTTTGAGATGCTCCGGGCCTTATTATCGTCCTCTGTCTTTGTGCAACAGGTGGTCCTGAAGAATTGCTTGTGCCAACTGCTGGTTCTCCGCATATCGGGGTGTGGCAGCTGTCTGGTGATCCAATATCTGGCTGGTGACCTAATCCCTTGCCAGCATCAGCAGCAATGCATCCTTCATTCGCTGTTGTTGGTTCCAACTCATCCTCAACTATGACAACCACGTTTGCTTCCCCTATTTGTGCTGCTGGAGCAAGTCATGCAGCATGCGCAGCATCATCATCTATGCCTACGTCAAAAGTTGGTGCATCGCAGTACCCGTCACCATGATAGTTGTAGGAATTTGATCCACGTATGGGTTGAAGGCGAGGGGCATCTTCTTGCGGCACATTCACAGGTGCATCATTCGCTGACCTGGTTCATAGTAATGTTGTGGTTGGCGGCCTAGGAGGCTTGCACCTGCTTATAATGTTGAACACCTCCTCTTGTGTTAATATGTTTTGAAAATCAGCTCTTGGTGATGCAGACTTGCTTGGATGCTTTGTGATACCTCTTGGAGATGTTAGTTTGACAGATTGACAACCTCATTTCGTGTTTGGCATTGAAGAATCTCTATGAATTCTCACCTTGGGGCTTGCGGTTGCAGTTGAGTATTCTTGAGCAACTTGCTAGTTTTGACTGTGACCACTTCAGTTGGTACACTGGTATCTGCAGTTGGCACCTTTCAGCCTGAGTTGGCACCAAACTAGCAGAACTTGGCAGTCCTGCATTGTTGGTTGTGGCACATTTTTCTGTCTTGTGTTTGGACCCCACACATTTTCTGCCCTGTTCCTCCTTTGTGCCCTTGGCAAACTTGACAATATTTTGCTGCTTAGCTGGTTTAGGTGGGACTATTGACAGAGGAATCTTCCTCTTGTTCTGTTGAACTCCTGTGATGGTTGTAGGCTCAACAGGTATTGCTGACACATCTTGAGTGGTGGTTGGCTCTCTGATCACTACAGTTGGCATAACAGTTTGGACCACAGCTTCCTTGTCCACATTTATTTCTGCATCTGCCCTCGGCATCTGTTGCTTGGTTTGAGGCAACTTCAGATTCTTCTTCGTTGTAACTCCTTTGCTCTTCTGGACCACATGAGGGTTTGCCACTGGGGCTGCCTTGCTCTTGCTAGAGATGATATCTGGAAGCTGCTTCAAATATTCCTTGTATTTCTCCTTCGAATGAACCCAATCAAGATCCTTCCCTGCTTCCTCCATGTCAACTGGATTCTTTTCAGCCTCACCCAAGAAGAACAAATTCTGGTCAACAGCAAAATCAATCTTGTCACACAACTCTCGATCATGGAAATCTGGCACAGGGAAAGTGGTTGGCAAAGCTGGCTTCATGTTGCACAACTTGAACATGTCAATGCTTCCCTGAGACTCTGCTTCATCATTTTTCTTTGACTTTGGCAGATTCTTGTATTTCCAGCAAGTTTTGTCAATCAACATCTTTAGTGTGCTCCTGCTGCTCATCGAGTTGTTGCTGTTGGCAGGGTTGGCAGATCTGCTACTCACCCTGGTTGTGTTGCCGCCTATACCACCAGAACCAGGGGCATTGTCATCATCATCATCGGAACTGTCACTGCCTCCATTGGATTCCTCTTGATCATCAGGATCGACATCCTCGTCTTCTTCATCATCATCTCCTTCCCCTTCACTCCCATCGATTGTTGCAGCTTTGTCTCCATCTCCTTCTTTGGCCTCATTTTTTTGTTCCTCCTCCTCTGCCTCACTATATTCTTCCTTGCCCTCCTCCTCTCCTTTGTCCTCTTTTTCTTTGTCCTCCTCCTCCTCCTCCTCCTCCTCCTCCTCCTCCTCATCTTCTTCATTGTCCTCCCCCTCCTCTTCCTCCTCCTCCTCCTCATCATCATCTTCTTCTTTGTCATCATCCTCTTTGTTCTCCTCCTTTGATTCATCCTCATCTGTCTCCCCGTCGTCTTCAACATCTTGTGGCACTCCAATTTTATCATCTTCTTCTGTCTCCTCCTCATCAAACTCTTCTTCTTCTTGTATAGGTGAAACCTGTCCCTTCCTTTTTGAAGCACGACATGACGGAGCGGTTCCCGTTGATGTCTGCTGTACATATGGATCAACATCTGGTTCCTCATCATCGATCTTGGCAACTTCTTCAATGAAGGTGCCAACCTGTTCAGTTACTACCTTGCACAAGTCATTGACCACTTTGGCAATATTTGCCTTTTTCTGCATCAACACAACAAAAAATTGAATACTCATTCAATTATAAATAGTTTTAAAAAAAAAGAAATGTCGTTAAATGATCGAAACTCCTTTATGCAAAAGACTTACCTATGGATTGTATGTTAGTGGTAATTTGGATGCAACGAATGCTTGAGCTTGCAAAAGACCACCAAACAGTGGTGTCTGCTCCGTGCCCCTATACTCCTCTTTAAGCTGATGTGAAAAGGAGAAAAAGAAAAGGACAAGGTTATCAAAACAGATATTGTGTTGAACGAAAAACAGATTGTTATAACTTGTGCAACTACAACAAAATGCTGGGCAGACATGATTCTACTGTATGCAACTGCACAAACAAAAAAAATGTGCACCCCATAGGTCACCTAGAAAAAATGTTTCTACCAACTGTTGTCACACATCTGTGCAACAAGATAAGTAAAACCCTACAACTTGAAACATATGATGTCTCATACAAAAATGAACATGTGACCACATGCCAAAACTAGAGCTACAAGCTGGGCAACATCTTGTGCCAACTGATTACAGCTTTTGCGCAACTACCAAAAAGTGTCTACCTAAATTTCTACCAACTTGTGCAACTGAACAACATATGCGAACAACTGCAGAACATAAGGACAGCCACCCCTCAGCTAAGCAGACTAATAGACAACCAACTTAGTACAAATAGGAAGACAACTAATGCAAAGTGCAGAACATGTGAACAACCAACTAAAAAAAGGGATGTAACCAACTGGGTGGAATTTTATGCAACTAAACCAAAAACTAGTTCAATCAGCCATTGAATTTTCTACCGACTGTTGTCACACATCTGTGCAACAAGATAAGTAAAACTATGCAACTTGAAACATGTAATCACATGCCAAACTAAAGCTACAAGTTGTGCAACTACATGCATTATTGTGCCAACAGATTAGAATTTTTGCGCAATTACCAAAAAGTGTCGAAAAGCTGATATCGAAATCGTATATGCAGCTACCAAGGAATTAACTGGGTAGAAATGAATAGAACATAAAAATAGCCACTAGTGAAAAAAACAAAAGGGAACTCACTTGTAATTTGCCGAACACACCAGCAGAGATCGTGTCCTTCTTGATCACCTTGGCAATTAGGTTACTGTCCCATGCAGTCGCTCGTATTGGATAGTTGCTTACAGGGATGTCATGAACGAGCGCGTCAAGGTACAGGATCTGTCGCAAAACCAAAAAAGGAAAACCAAATTTCAGTTATTATGAAGGGTATTTTCAGAAAATATAACTGCATAAAAAAGAAGAAAAATGCATGGAAGTGCTAGTTTTCACTCACCATCAAGTGATACAAGCAGCAGCAAACAGCTTGATTTGCCTGGTCCACGTTCCGGAAAGCTTCATTAATGTGTTCTGCTACAAAAAGGCAGATGTTTGTGTTCTTGAGGTTTCATGATCTAGCACAAGTCCATAGCACTTTGGGCTCAGCCTCAAGGTCGTGGTTGGTGCTAGGAAAGTGCTGAATGCAACTGCAAGCTAGGCCATAAAGAATGTGTCATCCGTTCTACCCCCATATCCTTAATCATCTTGGTCCATGTATTGATCTGGGGATGAGAATCTCCACGTATGTTGAAAGTCTCTCTGAATCTCCTAGTTGTATCCTTGTCAACTTTATATCTGGCTTTTTGACCCCTGTTAGGAAGATCAAATACCCTTTGAACACTATCAACATCGACATGGACACTTCCCTTGCCTGGGAACACCATTTCAGAGGTCTCTGGCTGGTAGGACTGCACCAGGAATTTACTAAAGTCCCCTGGAAGTGTATCTAATAAGTTCAAGAGGCCCCCAAACAACCTTGAAACTAGCTCAGACTTTTGTGGCGGGGATAGCAAGCTGTTGAACTTCGCAAACCGCCCTGGTGATGCCCTTAACCTGCTAGCTTGTGATGGTTGCTCCACATCTTCCCGGGCAGCCACCTCAACTCCTTCACCGCTGGCCTGATGATGAAAAATAATAAAAAATTAAACATAGGACAGAAATCTGGACTGTGAAAAAACTAGCAATGATCATGTGGACCAGTATTGCAAAAACTATATAAACATAAAACAGATCATGACAACTAATACGATGTTTTTGTGCAACTAAGAAAGCTCATCATGGCAACTGAAGACTACCAGTGTGTAACCAATCAACATCCTAAGAAAATGAAAATAACATGGGTATGGGAAAAAATTATTATATGACCCAAAATAAGATGAATGTGTAATCAGTATGTCCTTACCTCAACTTCCTCTCCCTGCTCAACACTACGTTTTGGGCGTGGCTGGCGATTAGCAGCACGCTTTGAGTTCCGGCGAAGGGACTGACTTCCAGAACCCTAATTAAGCAACCAAAAAAACATGAAAGAAAAGGACATAAGCATACATGGATAAGTTGAAAACAACTCAAATATGCAGAAAAAATGAGAAAAATGCATCTCCTTCATTGCCATAAACTTCTCCTCCTATTATAAGCATTTTAGCCTGTGGGGGAAATACAAGAAAAGAAAACATAGTTAGAAGATGCACAAATGAAGTAGAGAAAACATAAAAGCTTGCTTTGATCTGCAAACCTCTACACATAAGCAGGACAGCTAACTAGTAAAGTGATGCAGCCAACTGGGCAGTCAGCCTTGTGCAACTCCACAACTTATAAGCCAACTAGTTTCACTAAGGCAAGAAGATGCCCAATCCAAAAAATTGGCAAGCATTGGAACTAATTTGCACAAATAATGGCCCCTGGTTGCACACAGCAGGGGAAACACACATGAACAACCACATACACAACAAGACTGACAGATTGGTTAGACCATATTGGAAAATTGGCAAGCATTGGTGCTAAATTGCACAAACAAGGGTGCCTGGTTGCACACAGCAGGGGAAAAACACATGAACGACCAGATCCAGCACAAAGGCTGGCAGAAAAATAAGTAGACTATATTGGAAAATTGTCAACCATTGGTACTAATTTGCACAAGTGATGATATCTATTTGCACACAGCCGAATAAAACACGTGGACCAGCACATCCACCACAAGGCTGGCAGATTGGGTAGAGTATATTGCAAAAATTGGCAAGCATTGGTGCTAAATTGCACAAACAAGGGTTCCTAGTTGCACATGGCAGCGGGAAAACACACGGACCACCAGATTAATCACAAAGGCTGGCAGCTTGGTTAGAGAATGTTGGGAAATTGGCAAGCATAGGTACTAATTTGCACCAGTAATGGTCCCTAATTACACACAATAGGGGAAAGCACATGACCCAACAGAACCACCACAAGCCTGGCACATTGGCTATATTATCTCAAAAATGGTCTACTATTGCTCCTAATTTGCACGCAAGGGGAAACAGAGCTGCACACCGCGGGGGAAAAACACTCATCAAAAACGCCAGATCCACCCTCGAGGCTACAATCCACAGACGAGGCTCTATCGCCGCGAACCACTCATCCTAACTGAACCACTCATCCCGCACGTATATGCATGAGCTCTCTCCTTATTGCAACACAAAAACAACAGGATGAGCACGACCCTAGCCCACCCCTGCCAATCCGGTGGTTTCCCAATCGAAATAGTCCGCGGGGTTGACCTCAACCTCGCCGAAAAATGACTTCGACCTCCCTAACCCCGACCGCGACCTTGAGTTCAACCTCTACCTCGACCTCCCTGACAATGACCGCGACCTCACCGGAAAACATGCGACCTCACCAGAAAAAAGGAGGCAGGCGAGTGGAGAAGCAAGCAGGGACGAAGAACAGGGAGCGCGCGTAGGAGCAGTACATGTGCCACCGCGAACGATGACCCTCGCGGCGCGCCCCGCAGTCGACCACAACCCGGCGGATTTGGAACCGCCTCCGAGCACCAACCAACGGCAAAAGCAAGGGGGAAAGAGGAGGAATGAGCCGCGATAGGCGGCGGATGGACGGGGTAATGGCACGAAATTTGAAACCGCCGCCCACTACGCATGACGGCTGATACGCTGGGGAACTAACTCATCCTCTATGACATGTGGGTCCCATGGGAGGCTTATCTCGCGCGGAGCGGTGCAATCGGACCAGGCGACCGGTCCACGTGCGGGTCAGAGCGGCACGACTCCACCACCCGACCAGGGGACACCTGGACACCCCGCGCTGTCGATCGGGACGAGATCGAGCGGCTCTCCTTCGGCCGCTCGTTCTCTCCGTTTAGTGCGCGTGCACTTTGGAGGTATTGGGTAGTAAGATATGTCAAATCCAGCGCGTACGGGATTTTTATCCGGATACCTCAATTAGCAAAACCCAAATTCATAGTATTACACCTATTGTTAGACTGTATTTATACCTGGCTTCTATATATGTCTTGTATATTATACTATACACTTCATGTACCCATATATATATATATATATATATATATATATATATGGGTACATGAAGTATATATATATATATATATATACCGAGGTAATCTTACAATCGCTTCATAAATAAATTACGTCTGAAATACAAATAGTTACATTTATACAGATTCACTATGTAAAATTTGGTATATGAAAACAAAAATATAGATTATAAAATCAGAAAAGCGCATTTTATGTATGTTTTACACTATGTTTTTACATTTGTAATTTTACGTAATATAAAATATATTTTACGGCGAGTATATATTTTCTTACATTCTCTTTTTACATAAAATAAGAAAATAATTACAAAACATAAAAATACGGTGGATTGATGTCAAAATAGATAGGGGTGAAGAATAACTATTTCTCATCCAGGGTGACGAATAGCGCCCGATGAGACATTCCCGAACTCCTGAGACGCAAAAAAGTAAAAGCTGGCTTGCCCATCAAATCCCTCCGACCGGCCCATTCCCCAGGCCACGACCTTCCACCCCCTCCCTCAACCTCCGGCAGCACCTCTGCCCGACAACCTCCCGCCGCCGGCCACCTAGCTCTAGCGCACCTCCCACCGCTGGCCCCTGGGCCACAGCACGCCGCCCACCACAGCCACCCCCCGGCCCAACGCGCCTCCCGCTGCCCTCCCCTACCCTAATGAACCCTCCTGTTGCCGGCCTCCCCAACCCCAGCGCCCCACCCTCTGCTGGTCGCCGGAGCCGCGACACCCACGTCCGCACACTGCCGGCCATCGAAGCCATCGCCGGTGGCCACGCCACCCGCACCACCTCATCCCGTCGGCGCAACCCTGCGAGCTCCTACCGTTGCCGGATCTCGGCTACGCGATTGGATCTCATTGCCTCGTGCCTCCAGGACCATGGATCCCTTTCCACTCGCCTGATCCAGATAGAGGAAGGGGATTCCCACGCGCCCAACGTCAGCCGCACGATTCCTCGACGCCCACGCGGCTCATGCTCGGCGCCCTTAGCTCCACTTCCTTCCCCTGTTCATCGTCGCGTGAGCCCGGCCGCCGAACCTCGGTAGTCCCACTCCAACACGCCCTCCAGCAGCCACAACCTCGTTCAGCTCCATGTGCGGTCCTGCAGGTCCGCCTTCTACCCATATGTGTGGCTATAACATGCTGCTGCGAGCACGGCTCCTCTGCTCCCTCCTGAACTGCAGATGCACCAGTGTTTGGACCATGGAGGCATTTTTTCTGGGAGGCATTCCATGGTGAGAGAGACACTGCAACCATTTCTTCTTGTGGATATTTGCACATTGTCTCCTTTTTGTTCTTGTAGCACAACCGTGAAGCTGAAGAAAAGTTCAAAAAGTTGAGATTTCACGAACACTAACTTAATCACTTCTCGTTCTCGGAAAAAAATGAGTGCGCTTATGTTGATTTAACAAGATACCAATGCAAATATAGCGTTACTATGCAAACCTATTATGGCATACATGGTTTGTTGATGTCAATTTCCCTCAGAAAAAAATTTGTAACTTTTGTTGCAGAAGGTCAAAATCACCGGTGAATAAAATTTTAGGAAAGCCAAATTTTTGTGTGGATGTGATGTGTATGTGCATGTGTGTAGTACACTGAATAGAACAAAAAAAACTATTATGGGCGCCCTCTAAATGTTTGTGCTATTGCTTATGAGAATTGATCCAAATTTTCCTATTATTTTTACCCATGTTGGATTAAATGGAAAATGTGTATAAAAAGTTGTGATTTCGGAAGTTCAGGTGTAACGAACATCGAAGTTCAAACCAAAAATGTAAACAAAAAAAATCATGGAATTCAAAGAATAAAAACTATGGAGTTTCAATAAAAAAATAGCAAGCGAAGTTCAAGTTTCAGAATTTTTGAAGTTCACGTGTACCACTTACAGAAGAAAAATGATCAAATGAAAAAAAAAGGGACCGCCTAGGCCATTTCACCAAAAAGCAAAACATGCATAAAATGTCGCGACAAAATTCTGTAAGAAGTTCAAATTTAAAAACGGAAGCAGGTCAAAGTTAAAAAAATGAAGTTTTTAATATCTAAAAGACAAATTTGGAAGTTCAAAAACTTGAGCAAGAAGTTCCAAAAAAGTAGTTCAAAAATCTTTCTAACGAATTTTCCCCGTTTGTAACAAAATCAGAGAAGCTCAAATTAAAAAGAGGAGCATTTCAAAAAGATTGTATAAAAACTGATTTTCCCCATTGTATAAAAAATAGAAGTACAAATTAATATAATGGTGCGGTATCATTGTTTATATAAAAAAAGCATTTTCCACGTTACTAATCAAGAAAACTAAGAAGTTCAAAATTTTAAAAATGGTGAGGTTCGATGTCTAAAAAAATTTCAGATTTTTCACATTATTTAAAGATAAAACCAAGAAGTTCAAAAAACTCGATTATCCTCGTTACTAAAGAATAAAACTAGGAAGTTCAAATTAAAATAACAGAGAAGTTCAAGTACTACAAGGAATGCATTTGAGGTGAGAATAAAAGTATAGAAAAATAAAAGCTTAAAAGGTTTGTTGAAAGAAGTTAAAGTGCACTGTCTTGAAAAGTTCAAAAATTCTTGCGAGATAGGTTCACCTTGTATTTCCATGTTCGAAACACAAAAAAGGAAATTGTTTTTTTGCGTTTGAAAATAATTCTCTCAATCTAAAAAGAAGTTCAGTTATTATTTGGGAGCAACTTGATTTCAAAAAAAGAAAATAAAAAAATTAAATTATAAGAAAAAATTTCATGTACTACACGGTGTGAGTTTAATATGAGAAAATGAATTAAAAGGCAAGTTCCAAATTTGTTGTTGTTATAAGTTCAAGTCCTCGGTCATAGAAAGTTAAAAAAATTATTGTGATAGAGATTTGTACAAAAGAGATATATTTTGTGTAACACTAACGAATGGATTAGAAAATTACAAACGAAAATACGTCACAAAAGTTCAATGTGAAAACAGCAGGAAGTTCACCTACTATGTTGAATGAATTTCAGATGAAAAACTTTTCAAATCACCGCGAGTATGAAAAAATGATCAACACGAAAAAGTTGCGTGTTTACAACAGCTTTCCATCGGTATATCACTTGCTCAATTCCGGTGAGTGGATGGAGAGCTACGAGCAGTGCATGGAGAGCTACAAACAAAAAAGCGCGTGAAAAACAAAGTGAAGTTCAAGTAGACATGCCCAGAAGTTCAAGTTCTTCACGCGGTGCATTTTCGAAGAATCTGTTTCACGATAGAGGCAGAACGAATGATCTCACCATTTTCGAAATTACTTGAAAACGGCTAGGAATTAGAGAAAACCATCAACATGAATTTTTTCACATTTTTTGTAGATTTTCAACAGTATATTATTTGCCCCAATCCGATAAAGTTTGTAGAAAATACGGTGAAATATGTTTTAGCCATTTTCAAATTTGACTTAAAACCGTAAGGAATTGGGAGAAACACTATATACAAAAAAGTTTCGCATTTCCTCAAGCTTTCCAACACCGTATCATTTGCTGCATTCGGATGTATGGTTAAAAAATAGCTCAAAAATACAAACTCGGTGGTACTTGTATTGTTTTCTGAATTACTTTTTAAACGTTGCAAATTAGAAAAAACTTTTAACATGTAAAAGTAGCGCAATTTCATAAGCTTTCCAACGCCATACCATTTGCCTCAATTGGATTAGCCGTTTAGGAATGACATCGAAAATACGAACTCGGCTATTAGGTTTGTGAAATTTTACGATTTTCCAAATTACTTTTTATCCACAAGAAATTAGAGAAAACTTTTAACATGTGGAAGGAGCGGTTTTGCAGTAGCTTTCCAACCCCATATTATTTGCCTCATTCCGATAAACAGTTTAGAAATGCGATTTAAAATACGGTTCACGTTTTTTGTGAAGGAAAAACGGTTTTCAAAAGTGCTCTTAAACCGCGTAGCTTTTGCCAAAAAATTAACTTGTGTCATGATGCTCGTCTCCATGGCTTTCCAATGGTATATCTCAAGCCCCATTTGGGTAATGTTGGGGGAAGTTCAATGTAAAACAGAGGGAAGTTCAGGTCGAACAACTCGGGCAGTAAAATTGCAACATAGGCATGTTTCATCACGACTAGAGAGCAAATCCGCCAACAAGTGAGATTCATATTTAAAACGGACATTTAGTTGCTAGAAACAGTTTGTAGATTACACTTGCATCACATAGAACACGACCAACCAGAAAAATTCGCGCGGGGAGACATAGTTGCGAAGATAGCTCGAAGGCCGGGTTCGTACAGAGGGAAGTTCAAGCGTGTAACTCAGGAAGTTCTGGTTGTGATCAGAATAGTGTTTATATATATATATATATATATATATATATATATATATATGTATGTGTGTGTGTGTGTGTGTAGCCACATCCGTTATGGGTGTCGAGCAGTTTCCCAAAATACTACATTTAACATGGTATCGGAGCCTAAGGTCTCGAGTTCAAGTCCAACCTTTCGCAATTTATCCAAAATTTGCTGCTGCCCCCCTTTGTGTCTATGTATAGGCCTCTTGTCTCTTGAGCCATACCTCTTGAGACTATTCATGTGTTGACTTCCCATGTCACACGTGAGAGGGAGTGTTAAAATGTATATGTGGATTGCCTAGTGATTGCCATCAGTTTGGACTTTTGGTTGCGTTGGCTAGTGCATGAGTCTTCATCTTCCCTCTAACCGTGTCTACATCTCACATGATGTGGTGTTTGATGACAATGTATTTTTCGCACTTCCGGTCACTTCCACCACTCCCACTACACCTGAGAAATCCGCTTTTCCTTCGCTTGGTCAATCTGTTGATCCTGCATATACCCCCTTGTTGCTACCTAACCATGGTGCAGGTATTGGGCGCGGAGCACGCCTCGAGCTTCTAGATGCACAGCCACCCGCGTCCCCTCGGATGTCCGTCGAGCCCGCTCGTGATGTCCCTCCGTCACCTGGCCTGCCGACAGGTCTGGCCGAGCAAGGCACAGCTTCCCGACGCGCCGGCCGAGCCAGCGTCCTCACCCGTGCCGGCGTCCTGATACGTCTCCAACGTATCTATAATTTTTGATTGTTCCATGTAATTATATTACCTGTTTTGGATGTTTATGGGCTTTACTTTACACTTTTATATCATTTTTGGGACTAACCTACTAACTGCAGGCCCAGCCCGAATTGCTGTTTTTTGCCTATTTCAGTGTTTCACAGAAAAGGAATATCAAACGGAGTCCAAACAGAATGAAACCTTCGGGAGCAATATTTTTGGAACAAACGCAATCCAGGAAACTTGGAGTGGATGTCAAGAAGCAGTGGAGGCGGCCACGAGGGTGGCCGGCGTGCCCTAAGGTGGTGGGCGCGCCCCCTGCCTCGTGGGCCCCTCGTGGCTCCCCTGACCTACCTCCTTCGCCTATATATATCTTAGTACCCCGAAACCATCCAGGAGCACCACGAAAAACTATTTCCATCACCGCAACCTTCTATATCCGCGAGATCCCATCTTGGAGCCTTCGTCGGTGCTCCACCAGAAGGGGAATCGACCACGGAGGGCCTCTCCATCATCACCAAGGCCTCTTCGATGAGTTGTGAGTAGTTTACCACAGACCTTCAGGTCCATAGTTATTAGCTAGATGGCTTCTTCTCTCTCTTTGGATCTCAATACAAAGTTCTCCTTGATCTTCTTGGAGATCTATTTGATGTAACTCTTTTTGCGGTGTGTTTGTCGAGATCCGATGAATTGTGGGTTTATGATCAAGTTTATCTATGAGAAGTATTTGAA